AAAGATTTATTTATTTTTCAGAGAGAGAGAGCGAGCACAAGCAGGGGGAAGGGCAGGCAGAGGGAGAAGCAGGCTCCCCACTGAGCAGGGAGCCCAGTGCAGGACTCCATCCCAGGACTCTGGGATCATGACCTGAGCCAAAGGCAGATGCTTAACCAACTGAGCCACCCAGGCGTCCCAATTAAGAGATAATTCTAATCTTGACTGTAACTTGTAACATTTTAATTAATGCCGTATATTTTTAATTTTGAGAACTCAAATTTACAGAAATCTCAGACGTCAACAGAAAAATCGCAAGTAAAATGCAAAAAAATCTTTTCCCCTCAATAAACTATTTGAGAGTAAGTTGCCAGATTCCTTTAGTACATTTTTCTATGAACCCACAATGCACCATCAAAAACAGGAATTTAGGGGCGCCTGGGTGGCTCAGTTGGTTAAGTGTCGACCTTTGGCTCAGGTCATGATCCCAGGGTCCTGGAATCAAGTCCTGTGTCAGGCTCCCTCCTCCACAGGGAGTCTGCTTCTCCCTCTGCCCCTCCCCTCTGCTTGTGCTCTTGCGCTCTCTCTCTTGTTCTCTCTCTCTCTCCCTCTCTCTCAAATAAATAAATAAAATCTTAAAAAAAAAAAAGCCAGCTCATCTGATCATACCTATAGTAGGGACAGCATCCCACTAATGAGTTACCCATGCTGAAAACCTTCAATTAGCTTTAACAATCTTTAAAAACAGCTTTATTGAGTGTAACTGATTTGCAATAAACTGCCAAGTATACAGTTTGATGAACTTTTTCCTGAGTAGATACCTGTGGAACCCTCACCAAGATAAACATTTCCCTCACTTCCCAGAGTTTCCATATAATCCACCCCTCCTTCAACCCCTGAATTCAAGTAAGGACTGATCTGCTTTCTGTCTTTAGAGATTCATTTTCTCTAATTTTAAATAAATTTAATCATACAATGTGTACTCTTTTTTTCATCTGGCTTATTTTACTCAGTATAAGGATTTTGAGATTCATCCATGTTTCATGTATTAATAGTTCATTTCTTTTTTATTGCTGAGTAGTATTCCATAATATGGATGTATCACAATGTGTCTATTCATTTGCCTTCTGATGGGCTGTTCCCAGTTTTTTACTATTACAAATAAAGCTGCTATGAACAGGTATACAATTCTTTATAATATAATATAACTATACTGGGAAGGTGGGAAGAGAGAAAGCGTGGAGGGTGGTGTTATAAGAGAATGAAGTCCTTAACCAACATAAAAGGACATTAATGAATACTGTTTAAAATTGTTAAATCAAGAAATAGCTGTATAAACATATTGTTCTATTTAAAAATAAGGAGATGGGCGCCTGGGTGGCTCAGTTGATTAAGCAGCTGGCTCTTGATTTCAGCTCTGGTCATGATGTCAGGGTCCTGGGATCAAACCCCACATCAGGCTCCACTCTCATCGTGGAGTCTGCTCCAGTTTCTCTCTTTCTTTCATTCTGCCTCTCCCCCTGCTTGTGCATGAGCACTCTCTCTCTCTCTCTTTCTCAAATAAATAAATAAAAATCCTTTAGGGTCACCTGGGTGGCTCAGTCGTTAAGCGTCTGCCTTCGGCTCAGGTCATGATCCCAGAGTCTTGGGATCGAGCCCTGCATCGGGCTCCCTGCTCAGCGGGAAACCTGCTTTTCCCTCTCCTGCTCCCCCTGCTTGTGTTCCCTCTCTAGCTGTCTCTATGTGTCAAATAAATAAATAAAATCTTTAAAAAAAATCCTTTAAAAAAATAAGGAGATATTTATAGTGCTAGAAGAGTTTTGAAAGTGGCTGCCTCTGGGAAGTCATACTAGGGTATGACATAGAAATCAGCTCTTTTTTGGGGACCTGACTGGCTCAGTCAGTAGATCATGTGACTCTTTTTTTTCCTCTTTTAAAAAATTTATTTATTTGAGAGAGAGAGAGAGGGTACAAGCAGGGGGAGTGGCAGGCAGAGAGAGAGGGAGAAGCAGGCTCCCTCCTGAGGAAGGAGCCCGATTCGGGGCTCGATCCCAGGACTCTGGGATCATGACCTGAGCCGAAGGCAGACGCTTAACCAACTGAGCCACCCAGGTGTCCCGAGATTGTGTAACTCTTGACCTCAGGATGGTGAGTTCAAGCCCCACACTGAGCATAGAGCCTACTTAATTTTTTTTATTTTTAATTTTTTTGAAAATTTGTCAGAGAGACAGCACAAGCAGGGGGAGTGGCAGGCAGAGGGAGAAGCAGGTCCCCGCCGAGCAAGGAGCCCAATTCAGGGCTTGATCCCAGGATCCTGGGATCATGACCCGAGCCGAAGGTAGACGCTTAACCGACTGAGCCACCCAGGCATCCCAAGCCTACTTAAAAAGAAAAAAAAGAAATCAGCTCTTTTTTTTTTTTTTAAGATTTATTGATTTATTTTAGGGAGAGAGAGAGAGCGAGCAAGCATGAACAGGGGGAAGGGCAGAGGCAGAAGGAGAGGGTGAGAATATCAAGCAGACTCCCCACTGAGTGTGGAGCTTGATGTGGGGCTCAGTCTCACAACCCTAAGATCATGACCTGAGCGGAGATCATGTCGGATGCTTCACTGACTGAGTCACCCAGGTGCTCTAGCTCTTTTCTGATAGTAAGTTTTGACTTTTTTTGATAGTAACTTTGTTTTGATAGTAACTTTGACATTTATTAACCAAATACAGGCATTACTTTGATAAATATAAAAGTTAATTTTTGGAAAGGGGTGGGGCGCCTGGGTGGCTCAGTCAGTTAAGCCTCAGATTCTTGATTTCAGCTCAGATCATGATCTCAGAGTCCTGGGATTGAGCCCCTTGATGGGCTCCGCACTCAGTATGGAGTCTGCTTAGCCCTCTCCCTCTGCTCCTCCCCCCCAACCCCCTTTTTTTAAAAGGAATCAATCAATCAATCAATCAATCAATAAAAGTAGGGGTTAGCCAGATGGGGAAGATAATAAAAAACCCCATGGACACATCATAAATGCTAAATTGCTATACAAATGTGAGAGCTCATTTAATTTAAAACTTATGTCATTAACTCCTAAAGAAGAGTTGTGTAAAATACTAACTACATATTTAAAAATAAACTCAGTGCAAATGCTTAACAAACCAGTGCAGTTTAAATGCTTAGTAACTGAGAAGAATAAAAAGCACTAGAGATATATACCCTGATAACCCAGCAATTCCACTTCTAGGTGTGTCTTCTGGAGAAACATTACACATGTTCAAGGAGACATAGAAAAGTGTGTTCACCTATTCACTGAAACAGAAAATTGGAGACAACATGAAGGAAATGGATAAATAAAATGTGTCTAGGTGGATGGAATGCTGAGGAATGAAAGGGAATGAATCAGATCTACGTGTATCATGGATAGCTCTTGAAAACAATAATGAATGAAAAAAGCAGGAGGCTGAGTGATATTTACAGTGTTACCTTTTCTGTAATTAAAAACAACATTAAAGATTTTTCTATGGATACATATACGTATCCATATCAAAGTATATATGTTTGCAGTGCTACCCACCAAATAGGTAATAATGGCCACTACTGGGGCCAAGAGGAAGACACTGAGTTTGGGGGTCAAAGTCAAGGGGACTTTCAGTTTTCTCTGTAATTTTCTCTTTTATTTCTCTGCCTTGTCCTCTTCCTCATCCATCTCCTTGGGCAATGTTCTTACTCTACGGTGATTAATAAAACAGAACAACAAAACAATATATAGAAGACTAAAGGTAGTGCAGTCTCCCCGAAAAACCTTATCCGGGGCTAATAATTTTAAAAGAAAAAATAATTACCTCCAGTTTCATCGGAGAAATTTGTACCCTTTATGCTGTCAAAACAACAGCAATACCATCTTTATGGTATAAAGATGGACACAATTACGTCAATAGTTCAAAAGAGTATGCATAACCCGACGTAACAAGGTGGCTTCCCTTATGGTTTGATCTATCTTTTTACTTGCCCTACTTTGCACTTAATACCATGCAGTCAAAACTATGCACTCAAAGTAAACATACTCTATATGTCACTGCAACTGATGTAAAAAAAAAAAAGTCAAAGCTAAACCAATCCACGAAAACAATGCAAATGACGTATGAGATTATCATCACTACAAACCAGCAAAATACTGGTACCCTGCGACAGCTGAGCACTCCAACCAGCTGAGGCCATGATGGGCTCCTAGTCGCCTGCGAGGACGAAGTCCATGGGAAGAAATGCCTCTTTAGCTCAATTAAGGGTTAAAAGTCGCAATCTCGGATCCCGACAGAGCGTATTTCGAGGTAGGACGCTTGCCAAAATAACATTCCGTCTGGGAGAAATGTAATCAATTACTTCCTTTCCTGTATTTTTCAAATTTCCAGTTTTGAAAAAGGGTTAGCCTGGGGCATCAAAAATCTAGAGTTTTAATTCTGCGACCAACGGGCTTTAGTCATGTCCTCATCCGTGAAACTGGGCGTGAGACGTTCGAATTTCCAAAATTCCCGCTAGTTTGAAATCCCACGGCGAGACCAATTCCGCCTCCTTCAGTTTCGCCCGAGAAGTATTTTGACCCTCTCTGTTCACCGTCCGCGCAGCCTCCCGAAGCAATCGTAAGCTCCGCCCCCTGCGCTCCGGACGGCGCGAAAACCCAATTGACAAGAACTCTCTCCGAAGCCCGCGGGTCCGAACTGCGTTGGGCCTGCTTTCCCAGCCGGGGTCGCAGTCCCCGGCGCTCAGCCTGGGGCGCCCGCGTCGAGGGCACCCCGCGCTCGCCGGCCGCGTCCCAGAGTCCTCGCTGCCCGCGCTTTCTTACCGCCTCTTCCCGCGTCCGACTCGGCTGAGCTGGGCCCAGCCTCCGCAACCGTTCCGTCCCGGTGGGCGCGGGGGAGTCGGAGACGGACCCCGCGGCCCGGCTGCTCCTTCGGCGGGAGCCGGCCGCCTCCATGGCCTCCAGGCTGGCGGGGCCCGGCCGCACAACGCCCTAGGAGCCGGTATTCCGGGAAGCCGGGAGCATGGTGGGGGTCCTGGCCATGGCGGCGGCAGCTGCTCCCCCTCCGGTGAAGGACTACGAGATTGAGGTGAGCTAGTGTATCTCTGTCTGTACGAGGTGGGTGAAAGGTAATTCCGATTTTGGCTCTAGGAGGGGAAAGGAGGGACCTCCTGAGGCCCCGCCTGTGACATTGTGTGCAACAATTGCTGGAGTGTGTCGCTTCCTAAAGTCGTGATAGGTACTAACAAACATTGAGATTGTGAGATGGTTGGGGGCCAGGAAAGTCGGGATTGAAAAGATACCTCGACCAGTTCCCAGATACTGAAATGTTGGTGGAACCTGATGTTTTGGACTTGTGAAGTGTCACAGAGGATCCCAGGATCAAGTGTGGGTTCATCATAAGGAATCAGAACTTCAGCTTGAAAAGACTTTAAGCTCAACTACTCTCTCCACCTACCTGTTCTAGGACTACCGCTTAGATTGTCACTACAGGAGTCAAACAAAGTAATTTTATTTAAAAAATCAGTTTCTCAGGGCGCCTGGGTGGCTCATTCGTTAAGCGTCTGCCTTCGGCTCAGGTCATGATCCCAGAGTCCTGGGATCGAGCCCCATATCAGGCTCCCTCCTCGGCGGGAAGCCTGCTCCTCTCTCTCCCACTCCCCCTGCTTGTGTTCCTGCTCTCGCTGTCTCTCTCTGTGTGTCAAATAAATAAATAAAATCTTAAAAAAAAATCAGTTTCTCATGGCTCTAGAGCTTAAGATACTGCAGTTAGTAGCATGGAATGCTGTTATTCTTATGTATTCACCAAGTTTCAGTGAAATGCACTGAGCAGTCCTTACAAAGATACTTTAATGCCATGAACTAATGGAGTAGCATCTCAAAGTGATGGTTACTATATTTTTACACCTTTTCATCTCAAGCTAGCATTCTAACTGAAATACACATACTTGTGTCCCTGAAGTGAGCCAAGATGTACGTTCACTTACAGAACTGGGACTCTTTCTTATTTTTTAGAATTGAATAACTTTTGTCTACTTGCTAATAGTTGTTATGCTGATATTTGTTTTCTAAATCAAGGCAGTTGCTCAGCTTTCTTGGGTGTGAAGAAGGACTTTTGGTGGTTGAATTAGACAGATGTTGATTTTTGTATGGTCAGTTTATCAAGCTTCACCTTAGAGTTTCTGCTTTTGGTGCCCTGCTTACCTTATTTCATAGTAATGATACTTTCCTTTTAGTATTGCAAGGGTAAGGGCCTTGTATACATTATTTTGCTTAATATCAACCCTGTGCTGAGGTATCATTATCTGTATCCATACGGATGACAGAAGAAGGTAAAAAAATAAAGTGGGGTGCCTGGGTGGCTCAGTCTTTACGTGTCTGTCCTCAGCTCAGGTCATGATCCTGGGGTCCTGGGATAGAGCCCCACATCGGGCTCCCTGCTCAGTGGGGAGCCTGCTTCTCCCTCTGCCTCTACTTCTCCCTGCACCCTCCCCCCCACTCATTTTCTCTCTCTCTCTCTCTCAAATAAAATCTTTAAAAAAAAAGTAATTAAAAGTAAATTAAGTTAGAAAAAGTAAATTAGAAGGGTGCCTGGGTGGCTCAGTCGGGTAAGCATCTGCCTTCGGGTCAGGTCATGATCTCAGGGTCCCGGGATCAGGCCTCACATCGGGCTCCCTGCTCATTGGAGAGCCTGCTTCTCCCTCTCCCTCTGCCTGCTGCTCCCCCTGCTTATACTCTCTGTGTCAAATAAATAAATAAAATCTTTAAAAAGAAAGGAAAAAGTAAATTAGAAAGTTAAAAGTGGGCACCTGGGTGGCTCAGTTGGTTAAGCGTCCGGCTCTTGATCTCATCTCAGGTCTTGATCTCAGGGTTGTGAGTTTAAGCCCTGCATTGAGCTCCACACTGTGGAGCCTACTTTAAAAAAAATTTTTTTTAAAGTTAAAAGTAATATGCTTAGGGCCCCATACTAGTAGATGTCAGAGCCAGCACTTGAACTTAGATCTGCCTGACTCCAGAGCCCATAGTATCATGCTTTTGATAGGGTAATGATAATACTGACAGCTCATTAGCATTTTCTTCTAATGCTTTTACTGTTTCATTTTAACATATAAAATTTTAATCTGTAATTAATTTTGCCTCATATTTATCCAACTGGTTAGAAATTTGTCCCAATACCATTTATTAATTACTTATTTGCTCACTAACTTGAATGCTACTGTTCTCATATACCAAGTTCTTAAATATTTACTTATTTCTTTTTCTGGTTTTCTAATCCATTCCATTACATTGGCTACCTTATTCATGTATCAGTACTATGCCTTTTTTTTTTTTTTTTTAAGTAATCTCTACACCCAGTATGGGGCTCGAACTCAACAACCCCAAGATCAAGAGTCGCAAGCTCCACTGACTGAACCAGCCAGGTGCCCCCAGTACTTAGTTTTGTTTATATAGATATATATTTTAAATTTTATCGTTATGTTAATCACCATACATTACATCATTAATTTTTGATGTAGTGTTCCATGATTCATTGTTTGCACATAACACCCAGTGCTCCACGCAGAACGTGCCCTCTTTAATACCCATCACCAGGCTAACCCATCCCCCCACCCCCCTCCCCTCTAGAACCCTCAGTTTGTTTTTCAGAGTCCATCTCTCTTATGGTTCATCTCCCCCTCCGACTTACTCCCCTTCATTCTTCCCCTCCTGCTATCTTCTTTTTTTCCCCCCCAAGTACTTTGTTTTTAATGATGATAGCTTTGTGATCCTTTTAATTTTCTAGAAGTATATTTCCCCCATTCATTACTTATCTTTTTTTTTTTTTTTGAGATTTTGTTTTTAAGTAAGCTCTACACTCAACTTGGGGCTGGAACCCACAACCCTGAGATCAAGAGTCGCATGCTTTACTGACTGAGCCAACCAGACACCCCTCATTACTTACCTTTTTCTAAAAATTTCCTTGTCATTCTGGAAAGTTTATTTTAACAAATGAACCGAGGGAAGTTAAAATGACAGAAAAGATTGATGGAGCTTTTTGTAGCTAATAATTTTTTCTATTATGTAAGTTACTAATTTATGACCAACAGAAATGTAACTTTATAGTATTATAGTCAACTTGATATGTGAGGGAGGCAGGCAGTAACTTTTAATAACAAAACACTGGTAAGTTTTTTTTTTTAATTTGTGGTAAGTGTCCTTCACCATAATTTTTACTTGATTAGTGAATTTGAGGATCATAGGTTTGTTCACTATGTGTCTGTTTCTTAGAAATAGAACGATTTTTTTTAAAGATTTATTTGTTTATTTTAGAGAGAAGGAGAGAGTTCAGGAGGGGGAAGGACTGAAGGAGAAGGAGAGAATCTCTGCTTTTTTAAAAAAGCAAAAAAAGCACAGAGCCCAACAACCAGGGGCTTGATCCCATGACCCTGAAATCATGACCTCAGCTGAAATCAAGAGATGGATGCTTACCTGACTGAGCCACCCAGGCGCCCCAAGAATAATTTGTTTTTAACTAAAAAAGGAAAAAGGGAATGGAATTAATATTTGTAAAGTCCCCACCATGCATTTGACTTCACATATTTTTATGCAGTGTGTTCGTTACAAATTTTGTGGGGTGGGTGGTACTATTCAAAGGTTATAGAGTAAACAGAGGCCAACAGAAATGAACACGATTTGTACATAAGTATAGTGGCCTTGAAACTTTTTATTTAAGTATATATAAAGTAAAATACACAAATTATAAGTGTATGGCCTGATGTGATGTTGAGATTTGAATGTAGATTTAATTTTAAAGCTCTTTCTTTAGGGCGCCTGGGTGGCTTAGTCGGTTAAGCATCTGCCTTTGGCTCAGGTCATGATCCCAGGGTCCTGGGATGGAGCCGCTTGTCGGGCTTCTTGCTCAGCGAGGAGTCTCTCTCTGCCTGCCACTCCCCCTGCTTGTGCTCTCTCTCTCTGACAAATTTTTTAAAAAAGCAAAAAAAGCTCTTTTTTCTAATATATCAGTTTCATTACCTAAGGGAGCCTTCCTTTTTTTATCCAGTTAGGTAAAATATTAGATCTGTGTTTACAATTTATGTTTTGGATTATTTTGTTTGAAATAACTGCTTTTTTTTTTCTTAAATTGATAGGCATGCAAAAGGCGAAGGAAAGATGATGACAGATCTTCCTGCAAAACGATTACAAAATATTTATCACCAATAGGGAAGACTGGAGACAGTGTTTTCTCTCCACCAAAATCCAGTAATATTCTGGATTATTTTAGAAAGACTTCCCCCACAAATGAAAAGACACAGTCAGCAAAAGAGTGCAAGATAAAGTCACCTGCACCATTGCCTGCTGACAGTGGCAAACACTGTAAAACGTCTTTGGAAGTGTTCTCAAATCTAGAGTTTAAGAAGAGAGGAAAGAGAGTTAATTTATCTCATCGACTAAATAGTGTTAAAACTGAAAATGAATCTCCAATTAAAATTAGTAGTGTTGGTAGCAAAGAAGACACTAGTCTAAATAATGATTTTATAGAAAGTAGTACTTCTGTGTTACTCTGCAAGAAACATGTGGAGGTACTTGCAGAAAGTATTCAAGATAAAAAACACTCAAGCACTATGACCTCCATAAAAAACTCTAAGAAAGTGAATCCTAAACAAAGGATCACAAAAAATGATTGCAGAAAAATGAGAAAAAGGAAGCACAGGGATATAATAGATCTATCTGAAAGCATACCATGGGCTGAGGAGCTAAATCTCCATCAGAAAGATGGTAAAGATAGGAAACAGATAACGCCTTCCCTAACTAATGAGATCGAGAGTACTGCAAATGACTCCAGAGGTGATAAAACTAAAACAGCCCACTTAAATGATAGTACAATTACAGTCTCCTATGAGGAATTTTTAAAAAGTCACAAGGAAAATAAAGCAGAACACATACCAGACTCTACAATGTCAATTTGTATTCCCTCTGAAACTGTTGAAGATATGGTCAAAAGTGGTTGTATAAGTGACCCAGGAACCTGTGAAATTTCCCAACATGTACGCTATAAGACAGTTACTGTTCTTGCGCAAGTTCACCCTATTCCCCCCAGAAAGACAAGGAAAATACCCTCCATTTTCTTGAAACAGAAGCAGTTGGAAATGGAAAATAGTCTGTCTGATCCTGAGAATGAGCAGACTGTTCAGAAAAGAAAATCTAACGTTGTCATACAGGAGGAAGAGTTAGAATTGGCAGTGCTGGAAGCTGGAAATGCTGAGGCCGTGAAACCGAAATGCACCCTAGAAGAAAGACAGCAGTTTATGAAAGCATTTAGGCAGCCGGCATCCGATGTACTTAAAAATGGAGTCAGAAAGTCTTCTGAGAAGCAGAAAGAGCTCAATGAAAAATCTTTAAACGAGGAAGGAAGACACAATAATTCTAAAAAAATCATGGAAAATCCTAACATTCAGGTGGTTTCAAATGATGGCAGTTCACCGTCACACACTGAGAAAGGAAGTTTTCCTAACGAGAAAAGTAAAAAGCTGAAGAAAAAGGATAAGAAAATGTTAGGTACTGGTATTACTCCAGGTGAAAATAGACGGGGAAATATTCAAAAGAAAGCAGCAACTTTTTCCTTTAGAGATAAACAGAATCAAAATAGACTTAGAATGAGTTTAAGACAAAAGAAAACAGAAGTTTTCAAAAACAGCACATTATTTAACAGTGAAAGTCTTATTTGTAAAGATTTAGCAAATGATGACCTTCTAAAGATTTCCTCTCAGTGTAACAAAAAGTCTTCAAGAAAGACCAGCATACCAGTTAAGGATAAGGTTATACATTCTAAAGCTGAAACTGAACACAGTTTAATAAATGTTTCCACACCCAAGCCAACCAGAAGATCTGTAAGAACCAGCAGTATACCTACTACAATAGTCCTTAGCGGTACCGATTCTGAAGATGGTAGTCCAGCAAAGGCTTCCACTCCAAAAGCAGCCAACTTACTAGAAAAGCACAGTTTATATACAGCAGAATTAATAACAGTACCTTCTGATTCAGAGAGCCCTATTAGGTAAGGTTTTGTTTTTGTTCTGAAGCTCTGAGTATTCTGCGTATATTATTAGCTGGGAAGGAAAATAGTTCAAGCATTGGAGAGTGTTATTTTTTCTAGAACACAGCTGATTTATAAGAAAACAGTTTCAAAAATGCTGTTTATTTCCCACGTTTAATTTAAAGCCAGGCATGATTTTAGAAGAATTCTAGATGTATTTTAGATGAGTTCAAACTCTTATCAGGGTTATTAATTCCCTGGAGAAATATTTTTCAAATATGAATTTTAGGGGCGCTTGGGTGGCTCAGTGGGTTAAGCTTCTGCCTTCGGCTCTGGTCGAGATCCCGGAGTCCTGGGATCAAGCCCCACGTCGGGCTTCCCACTCAATGGGGAGTCTGCTTCTCCCTCTTCCTCTGCCGCTCCCCCTGCTTGTGCTCTCTCTCTCTGTGTCAAATAAAATCTTAAAAAAAAAAAATGAATTCTGTGCATCTAACAAACATGAGATTAAAAATAAGTAAGCGGGGCGCCTTGGTGGCTCAGTTGGTTAAGCGACTGCCTTCGGCTCAGGTCATGATCCTGGAGTCCCGGGATCGAGTCCCACATCGGGCTTCCTGCTCAGCAGGGAGTCTGCTTCTCCCTCTGACCCTCTTCCCTCTCGTGCTTTCTATCTCTCATTCTCTCTCTCTCTCAAATAAATAAATAAAATCTTTAAAAAAAAAATAAGAGTTTTATTTCTTGGGTAAATGGAGCTATATATATGAGGTATATACTTGCATGCTGGTTTTGGCCAATGGAAGAGTGATCTTAGGTAATTTTCTGTAAAGCTTATGATTTCTAAAAGGAAACATTTTATATTTTCTGAGAGTTTAGCTTTCAGTTTGGCTTACTTTGGATCAGTAGTTTGAATCTAACTGGGAGTATTTTTTTTTAAGAACTGTCCAGGGCGCCTGGGTGGCTCAGTCTTTAAGCGGCTTCCTTCGGCTCAGGTCATGATCCCAGAGTCCTGGGATCGAGTCCCACGTGGGGCTCCCTGCTCGGCGGGAGGCCTGCTTCTCCCTCTCCCTCTCCCACTCCCCCTGCTTGTGTTCCTGCTCTCGCTGTCTCTGTCAAATAAATAAATAAATCTTTAAAAAAAAAAAAAAAAGAACTGTCCAGAAATTGGAGCCCTAGTTGGTTCTTTTCTGTATTTAATTGAAATTCTTACACATAATCATGGAAATGCTTCTGAATGTCTCTTTTTTTTCCAGAATGAAATTCACCAGAATTAGTACTCCTAAGAAATCTAAGAAAAAATCTAAGAAAAGATGTGAGAAATCTGAAGCAACTGATGGAGATTTTACTTCTCAGACTAGAAAGGTAATTGAAATATTAGGGGGTTGTGTAAGTGGTATTCTGTTTCCTAAAACAACAACTACTTTAAGAAGTAGTATGCCAAAAGAAGATACACATATTTTATAGATTGGTTATGTTAACTACAGCCATATACTGTTACTCACTATTATTCTATTCCTCTGATTAGTTTATTAAGCAGTCAACATATCTTACAGTGAGATGGAAGCAATTGATAAGGACAGCATAATTCACTTAGAAAAAGTTTTCTTGGGGACACCTGGGTGGCTCAGTCAGTTAAGTGTTCGACCCTTGGTTTCAGCTCAGGTTATGATCTCAGTATTGTGAGATTGAGCCCTGTGTCACGCTCCACACTCAGCCCTGAGTCCGCTTGTCCCTCTCCCTTTGCACCTCCCCATGCTTGCACGTATGTGCTCTCTCTCTCTCTCTAAAATAAATAAACAAAATCTTTAAAAGAGGAAAAAAAAGTTTTTTTGGTAAGAGTTACATTCTAATCATTTTCCTTAAGGCTGCTTATAGGTCATGATTGAATTTTTGGTTTATTTCTGTAGATCAGAGGCTAAAAAGTGGGGTGTGTAACTCTGGTACAGGTCTAAAAACCCTGGTACTGTTGACATTTTGGGCTGGATAATTCTTTGTTATAGGGAACTGATTGTGTATTGTAGGATGTTTAGCAATAACCTGGGCCTCTACCCATGGAAATGCCAGTAGCTCTCCAGCTCCCCTGGTTATGATAACCAAAAATGTCTCCACACATAACAAATATCCCTGGGAGGGAAAGAAATCCACCCCCTCACCCTGCACTATTGAAAACCACTACCCTAAAGGGAGAGGTAGGATGATATGTAAGAATAATTTAGCTGCTTTTACAAACTAATCTGCTTTTCTCCACTGTGAGAGAATTGAATTCTCTCCAGGGTGAGTAGGTACAGGTATGTGTATGTTGAAAAGCCCCCAACGTGGCTGTGACATAATCCTTGGGTGAATACCACTGCGACAGAAGATTGGCATCTCTTTTGTTGTTATTTAACAGCTATCATGTTTTTTGACTGCGTATCACATTCCAGGCACTATGCTTAATACTTACCATTAATCTCATAAATATTTAACCCTGTTTTGAAGGAACAGTGGAGCCAAAGGAGGTGAGAACATTTTTCAAAGTAGTTGAAGTGGTGTACAGCGGGATCCAAGCTGCGTGGGGTGGAGTAGAGGCTGATAAACAGAAAGTAAAGAGTGCTATCAAGAGAGGTTTCTGATGTAGTCAGGAGTAATCAAGTAAGGCTGGGAGGATGGGTGACTAGGTCAGAAAGTAGGGTGTTGGAAATGACTATTTTCAAGGTGATAGGATTATGGTTGGTTTTAGTTTTTTTTATTTTTCTGTTTTGTTTTTTTATAAACATGAACTTTTTAAAATTTTTATCAGAAAAAAATAACTAGGGTGCCTGGGTGGCTCAGTCAGTTAAGCGTCCAACTCTTGGTTTTAGCTCAGGTCATGATCTTAGGGTTGAGAGATTAAGCCCTGGGTGGGGCTCTGTGCTAAACATGAAGTCTGCTCGAAATTCTCTCTCCCTCTCCCTCTCTCCCCGCCGCCGCCTCACTTGCGCTCTCTCAAATAAATAAAATCTTTTTAAACAAACAACTATTAGAAAAAAATGGTTTTCAAGTAACAGCAGAATTACTTGCCAAAATGTGTATGTGTATGGTTTTTTCCCACACCTTCACTAAAACATATCTTTTTGTGTAACAGTTTCTTTCAATAATTGAGTTGTTAATTTAAATTTAGGTCAGTTATTTTGTAAGAATTTATAAGATTTCATTAACCTGCCCAAAAGTTTGCTAGCAGAACAACAAATCTGTTGCTCTACTGTACAGAAGCGAATCTTTGTTTTCCTAACCCCTTACACATATTTTGGATACCCAGGCCTATGCTTTTCAGTGCTTTTTAAAAAACAGCAAACATTGGTTAAAAAAACCAGAAATGCATAAAATCAAAAGTGAAAACTTTTCATCTTCTACTCTCTAGAGGTAACCCACTTTATTTTTTTTTTTAATTTTATTTATGTATTTGAGAGAAAGTGAGCGAGCTTGAGCGGGAGGAAGGGCAGAGGGAGAGGGACAAGCAGACTGAGCTGAATGCAGAGCCTGACTTGGGGCTCTATCTCGACCCTGAGATCATGACTTGAGCTGAAATCAAGAGTCAGACGCTTAACCTACTGAGCCACCCAGGCGCCCCTGAACTTTATTTTTTAGAACAGTTCTAGCTTGGGGTGCCTGGGTGGCTCAGTTGTTAAGCATCTGCCTTTGGCTCAGGTCATGATCCCAGGGTCCTGGGATCGAGCCCCGTATCGGGCTCCCGGCTCGGCGGGAAGCCTGCTTCTCCCTCTCCCACTCCGCCTGCTTGTGTTCCCTCTCTCACTGTGTCTCTCTCTGTCAAATAAATAAATAAAATCTTTAAGAAAAAAAAAGAACAGTTTTAGCTTCACAGCAAAACTAAGTGGAAGATACCAAGATTTCCCATATACCTCCTGCCCCCACACTGCGTAGCCTCCCACATTATCAATACCAGAGTAGTACATTTGTTACAATTGATGAACCTGCATTGGCAGATCATTATCACCCAGAGTCTATAGTTTACATTATATTCTGTGGGTTTAGATGTATCATGGCATGTATCCACCATTATAGTATCATCCATATAGTACGATATCACTGCCTTAAAAATGCTCTATGCTGTGCCTGTTGATCCCTTCCTCCCCACTTAACTCCTGGCAACCACTGACCTTTTTTACTGTCTCCAAAGTTTTACCTTTTCTAATTTTTTTATTATTAAATATAAAATGTTTGCCACTGACCTAAATTAATATTTCATATTTTTTTGTTTAGGCAAGCAGTGCTTCCAAAAATGTATCTAAAGCAAAACAATTGATTGAAAAAGCAAAAGCTTTACACATTAGTAGGTCAAAAGCTACTGAAGAAATAGTGATACCCTTGAGACGTTCATCTAGACATCAGACACTTCCTGAAAGGAAGCAATTGTCAGAAACAGAAGTAAGTATTAGAAATATTTATTGGTATGAGTTCTGTCCTATTCTGCTGCTTGGAGTGGGAGAAGGAAACCATTATAAAGTTATAGGGTAGAACTGTAAGATACCCTTGAGGTGGTAGAAAGAATAATGTTTTCAGTTCTGTTTTAGAATCTTTTGGTTCTTTTGCCTGTAAAATAATACAGTCTGAATCCTTATTAAGTCATCCGAGGTCCTTTATAGGCCGAATTAGCTCTTCCCTTAAAACAACCACCTTCCTCATACACTATTTGCTCTAGTCACACTAAATTATTTATTTCTCCCCAAATGGTGCAATTTTTACTTTTTCCAGTTTGTAGTCTCAGCTTGAAATGCATATTCCAAGTACTCTCTTTTACCTGAGGAATTCCTACTCAAACATTAAGTCCTGCTAAATGCTAACAGTTCCTCTTTTTTTAAAACCAGCTTTATTATAGAGATATAAGTCACATACCATACAATTCACTATTTAAAGTGAATAGTCACAGAGTTGTGCATCCATCACCACAATTTTAGAACATTTCATTACCCCAAAAAGAACCCCCATTCCCCTTAGCTGTCACTTCCTAATCTCTCCTCCCCCAGCCGCAGCCAACCACTAATCTACTTCCTGTCTCTATAGATTTGCCTATTCTGAACATTTCATATAAATGGTATCATACATACAAGATATGGTCCTTTGTGTCTGGCTTCACCCATCATAATGTTCTCAAGGTTCATCCATGTTGTAGCATCAATATTTCATTTCTTTTTATTGCCAAATAATACCCCATTGTATGGATATATATCACATTTTATTGACCTATTACCTGTTGATGGACATTTGGGTTGTTTCTGCTTTTTGGCTATTAGGAATAATGCCTCCACTTGAAAGCTTTACTGATGCCTTCAAGGCAAGTAGACTTTACTTATATGGTTTTTTGTATTTTGGTCAATACTGCTCTCACCATACTGTTTCAGAACTACCTACTTATAGACTAGCTCTCCTTCTGTCCCCTAAGCCCTGGTGTAACCTTGAAGCCAACTCTTGTTTCATCTGACTGTGTACTTTCAGTGCCTGCTATATTGCCTGATGTATAAGAGATGCTCAGTAAATGTATGCTGACCACATGGAAACGTATCAGACTTCATCTAATACATTTATAGGATGTATAGCTTTCAAAGAGTATAGCTAAAATTTTTATAGTTTGGTCATATTGATTCTTCTGTCTGGAATAAAGTCTGTTAGTTGCTTCTTTAAAAAAGAAGACCCATGGGGCACCTGGGTGGCTCAGTTGGTTAAGCGACTGCCTTCAGCTCAGGTCATGATCCTGGAGTCCCAGGATCGAGTCCCACATCGCGCTCCCTGCTCGGCAGGGAGTCTGCTTCTCCCTCTGACCCTCTTCCCTCTCATGCTCTCTATCTCTCATTCTCTCTCTCTCGAATAAATAAATAAAATCTTTTAAAAAAAAAAAGAAGACCCCTGGTCATAATAAATCCACTCTTTGATATGTGAACTTGTATGATGTAGTGTAGGCTATTGTCACTTTATGTTTTCTGTATTGGTGAGGTGGTGTCTGATGGAGAGAGCTTTGGAGCTGCTAGTGTCATCTTACTTGTGGCTTCTAGCATCGTAATCCTTTTGATATTTTAAAACATCAATTGCATGACATATTTTTAAAATATTTTTCTTCTGTCTTAGGACTCTGTAATAATAATCGATTCAAATCCTACTTCTTTAAAGCATCCTGAGAAAAATCAGAAGAAACTTCAGTGTCTGAATGATGTGCTAGGAAAAAAACTAAACAAGACTCCTAAAAATGTACCTGGTAATCAAATTTGATAATGTTTATGATGAACATTAGAATGTTTTAGAGGGATTATATTGCTCTGAATGCTGTCAATTTAATTCCTTGTCTTCTACAGTGTACACTTTTAATTACATTAAGTATTTCTATTTTAATAAGTAAAGTTAAAAGGTAGTGAAGAGTTTTATAAAGGTAATTGAGTACATTCAGGTTATTTCATTTCTACCTATCTATTTAGCCTCAGTTAAGTTTAGAGTTCCCAAACCTGATGGATCATCAAAATCACCAGAGTAAATTAAAAAATTTCTTAAACCTTTAGGTCCTTCCCTAGGCATATTGACTAAGAATCTCTGAAGCTGGGTTGTGAGAATCTGTAGTTTAAAAAAAAAGTTGCCAGGAGATTCTGATAATGATATTAGGAGACCAGATCATTATATAGAAATTTTTTGAATTAAAAAGTTAGTTTTTTTAAGGTTAAAAAAAGTAAAAAGGGTTAATTTTTTTTAAGTTTAAGAAGGTAGAGATATAATTTGAAAGTAACCGGAGGTAAGTAGAGATTATAAACATTGACACTAACCTAAGTATTTATTTTTCTAAGGGAAAATGAAAGTTGCTCCTTTATTTCTTACCAGAAAGGCTCAAAAAACAGCTGATCCTATTCTTGGTTTTGATGAAAGCAGGTCAGTCCAATACAAATTTTTAAATGCCGAAGTATCTTACAGAATGTTTTTTGTATTTTTTCCTTTACTTTGATGAGAAAGCATGTACGTTATCATTTGAGGCTTTAATAAATGCACTTTTAAAAATGACAATATTGACAGTGCTACAACTGCAATTTGAAGATCAGACACTTTGTGGCCCATCTCTAGATGAAACCGTGGAGAAATAAACCAAAATCACCGAAGAACTGATTATGAACTTATTCAGTAAATATTTAAATACCTGCTATGGAGCGCCTGGCTGGCTCAGTTGGAGGAGCGTGCAACTCTTGATCTCGAGGTCATGAGTTTGAGCCCCACACTGGGGGTGGAGATTACATTAAAAAAAAAATGAATAAAATAAAATCTTTAAATACCTACTATGTACCAGGCAATGTATTTGGCACTGGGAATATTATGGGAACAAAACAAGACACATTCCCTGTCCTCGTGAGGCTTATACTCTAGAGGAAAGATAATCTATGATTAAACATTAATTGGGCCAACAAATGAAAAATTGCAGTTGTATTAAGGAGAGGTACCAAGTTCTACTAAAGTTTATATTAAGTGGATTTGGTCTGGTCAAACAAGGCTTTGCTGAGGAAATGTCACCTGAACTGAAGGATGAGTAGGAGTTCATTGGGGTGGAACAGTGTTCTAACCAGAGGGAACAGTCTGCATTGTCCCTGTAGCTGGAAGGAGCATGGCAAATAGAGAAGGTTGAAAGAATGCCAGTGTGACTTGAGCACAGAGAGCAGAGGTGAGAGAAATGTAGGATTAAGCTGGAGAGGTGGATGCCAGCCCACGTAGCACCTCTGGACCATGTGCAAGAATTTTGTCATTACGCCAAGGGCAATAAGAAGCAGAGGGTTTTAAACACAGGTATGGACATAAACATTTGGAATTTTGGAAAGTTTATTCTGACTGCTGGATCAGTTTGCTAGATCAAAATCCATAATGATTAACTAGATCTGGGGGCTGGGGGTAGGAGAGAGGAAGGTGTGAGGATGACACTCAAGTTCTGGTATCCCTGTGCAAGTGGATGGCATGATGGCAGAAGACCAGGTTTAGGGACATCATGGTTCAGGTTATTTTTTCCTCTTCCATATTTATTGAGGTATAATTACATACTGTTAAATGCACAAATCTTTTTTGTATTGAAGTATAATTGACATACAATATCCTGTTAGTTTGAGACATACATAATAGTGATTCGATACTTTTATATGTTACAAAAAGATCCCCATGATAAGTTACCATCTGTCACTGTACAGAAAGTTGCTGCAGTTGATGACTGTACTTCCTGTGCTGTACATTTCATCCCCGTGCCTTAACTGGTTTATGACTCAAAGTTTGTACCTGTTAATCCCCTTCCCCTATTTTGTCTGCCCCCTCCCCTTCCCCACTCTGGTAGCCAACACTTTGTTTCCTGTGTCATCAGTCAGTTTCTGTTTTGTTTGTTCATTGGCTTTGTTAAATGCATCATTCTTCAGCATAACGGTTTTCCAAAGTACATTAAATCAAGATTTAACCTATTTCTTTTACTCCTGAAAGGTTACTCTTTTTCTGTTATTCCCATCCTACCACAACAAAAGGTTACCACTATCCTGATTTCATCGTCATTGATTAGTTTGATTTCTGTCACCATGGATTAGTTTTGTCAGTTTCAGAACTTCGTGTAAACTTTATATATGTATTCTTTTATATCTAATTGCTTTTGTTCAGTACAAACACTTTTTTTAAAAATCAACTTTATTCAGGTATAATGTACATACAATCATATTCATACAATGTCAAGTAAACAGTTTGAGGTTTAACAAATGCACACATCTGTGTAATCTCCACAACAATAAAGAGAAAGCATTTTCATCACACTCAAAAAAGTTCCTTTGTGCCTCTTTGCAGTTAATCCCTGCCTCCAACTCCCATGCAATTTCTGATCTGTTTTCTGTTGATATAGATTGGTTTGCCTTTTCTAGAATTTCATAGAAATGAAATCATACAGGAGGTACACTTTTGTCTCTGGCTTCTTTCAGTCAGGGTAATGTATCAGTAGTCTGTTCTTTTTTATTGCTGGATAGTATTCCTTATATGAATATACCACAGTTCGTTTATTCATTCTTTTTATTGATGGTCATTTGGGTTGTTTCCAGTATTTGGCTATTATTAATTAGGCTGCTGTGAACATTCCATACACGTGTGTAAACAGTGTTCTCATTTCTCTTGAGTAAATACCTAGAAATGGAATTGCTCTGTCACTGGGTGGGTGTATGTTTAACATTATAAGAATCTGCTGAGCTGTTTTCCCAAGTGGTGTTCCATTTTACATTCCCACGGGCAGTGTATGAGAGTTCCAGTCTCTAACATTTGGCATTATCAGACTTTTTAATTTTAGCCATTCTATATAGGTTTACAGTGGTATGTTATTTTTTATTCTTTTACCTTATTATTTTTATTGTATTTTTATTTATTTTTTTTTTTTT